GGAGAACTCCTGGCGAGGGAGTTGAGGAGGTCGAGACCTGGAGGTACAAAAAACATACTTTCATAAGAAAAGTCCTGGAGGAGCCGGGTTTCCCGTGGAATTAAAACGGTGTCTCTCCACCTGAAACGGGAGCAGAGGAAGCGATCGAGAAAGGGGAGGAGGAACTGAGTGGACGGAGATTACCAAAGACCTTGAACTTCTCAGCAAAGCAGAAGGCAAGATGATCTTCTGAGGGAGGGGAGATCAAGCAGTGAGTTTCAGAAACAGGGAAAAGATTTTTAATAACCAATGTAGGAAACTCATTAGTGAGTCTCCAAGAGATTAATAGAAGGATTAGGGAGCAGCCTGGGAGTCAGGAGTCAGGTGGCCTGAGTGACATTGCTTTCGTCTCTCTCTAGAAAGACTTGGGAGGATAAAGAAAGGAATAAAGTGATAGAAGCAAAAGAAGAGAGGAGGGGAGGGGAGGAGGGGGGAGAGGAGGGGAGGGGAGGGGAGAGAAGGAAGGAGAGGAAAGAGGAGGAGGGGGAGGAGGAGGAAATTGATCATGCTAAGCTTGATGGACACTAGGAAATGAAATGCACAGTATACTAGCGGTATAATCAAAGCCTTCATTAAAGTTTCCCACACACACACAAGACAGGGTTTCTCTGTGTATCTTTGGCTGTCCTGAAGCTCACTCTATAGACCAGGCTGGCCTCAAACTCACAGAGATCCACCTGCCTCTGCTTCCCCAGTGCTGGGGTTAAAGGCGTGCGCCACCACCTCCCGGCCTCCGAGGAGTATTTTTGGTGCTTTTGTCAAAACTGGATGCTGCAGCCACATGGTTCACCTCTGGCTTCTCTGCTTTCTTCTGCTCTCCAGGCCTGTGTTCATTACTATGGCGCTGGAGTGTAATTGAAATCAGGTAGTGATGCTTCTGGCATTGCTCCTTTCGCTCAATACCATTGTTTTTTACTACCCAGGTTTTCTTTGTGCTTCCAAATAAGCTTTGAGGTTGCCTTCTCTGTAAAGAATGACATTGGAGCTGGGCGTTGGTGGCGCACGCCTTTAATCCCAGCACTCGGGAGGCAGAGGCAGGCAGATCTCTGTGAGTTCGAGGCCAGCCTGGTCTACAGAGCGAGTTCCAGGACAGCCTCCAAAACCACAGAGAAACCCTGTCTCGAAAAACCAAAAAAAAAAAAAAAAAAAAAAAAGAATGACATTGGTGTTTTGCACCAGATCTACGGGTCACTTTTGATGAGACAGCCATTTTCACAATACTATTCCTTCCAACCTGGGAAGAAACTGGAAAGTCTTCCCATGGTCGCTCGCACAGTTTTCACTATAGAAGCTGTGTGTTTCCTCAGTGAGTGAGGTTCATTCCAAAGTATGTGATTGTTTGTTTATTTAAGATGCATTGAGCTGGGCGGTGGTGGTGCATGCCTTTAATTCCAGCACTCAGGGGTCAGAGGCAGGCAAATCTCTTTGAGTTCGAGGCTACCCACGTCTACAAAGCGAGTTCCAGGACAGGCTCCAAAGCTACACAAAGAAACCCTGTCTCAACACACACACACACACACACACACAAACACACACACACACAATTTTATTTTTATGTTTGTTGGGGGTGGGATGTGTCCATGAGTACAGGTGCCTAGACCTGCAGAGAGCATTGGGCCCTGGATCAGGAGTCACAGGCAGACGTGAATGTCCCATATGAGTGCTGGGAACTGAACTTTGGCCCCTGCGGGAGCAGGGCTGCCTCTCAACCCTGAGCCATCCGTGCGGCCCATGGTCTGTTTCTAAGAGACTTTTGTGTGGAAAGTTCCCACTTCTCCCTTAGCATACTTGTTATCAACAGAGAGGAAGGCCACAGAGTTTTGCATGTTAATTTTCTCTTTGGTTGTATTTTTGCTAACAAAACTGGGGGGATTTTTGTGTTGGTTTTTCTTAAAAGCATGGAATACTTTGAAGTTGCTTATAATATATAAACTACATGGAAACCACTTCTGTTTCTTCTGGTACCTAATTTACAGAGAATTTTCGGGGATCCAGCTCCCCAAGTTTTTTTGTTTGTTTGTTTGTTTGTTTTTCGAGACAGGGTTTCTCTGTATTATTTTGGAGGCTGTGTCCTGGAACTCATTCTGTAGACCAGGCTTGTCTCGAACTCACAGAGATCCACCTGTCTCTGCCTCCCGAGTGCTGGGATTAAAGGCCTGCGCCACCAACACCCCACACAGCTCCCCAAGTTTTAAAGCATAAACATTTCTATTATGAATTGTGGACACAAATATTTTTTAATTATTTATTTTTATTTTACGTACCTTGGTGTTTTACCATAGGTGTCCGGTCCCCTGAAACTGGAATTATAGACAGTTAGGAGCTGCCGTGTGGGTGCTGGGAATTGAACCTGGGTCCTCTGGAAGAGCTGTCAGTGCCCTTAACTGCTGAGCCATCTCTCCAGCCTGAACACAAATATTTTTGGTAATACTGTTTTAGTGTTAACACAAGGATGGGTGTGGTGGCACGGGATCAGCCTGGTCATACAGTAAGTTCCAGGACAGCAAGAGCCACATAGTAAGACTTTGTCATAAAAAAAAAAACAAATACCTCCCAAAAACAAAATAAAAACAAAAAGGAACGAAAGCCCTCCTAGAAGAACTGAGTTGATTCCCAGCATCCACATCAGGTGACTCACAACTGTGGTCACTCAAACCTGGAGGAATCCTACCCCCTCTTCTGGCTTCCAAAGGAACCTACACACATGCATATCAAAATAAATATAACAAACAAACATGGTAACTTGAAGGGTTTAACTACATTATGAAAACTCCACAGTAACCACAGACACTGTTTAGAACTTGTACAACATTTTTGAGGGGAGGAGGGCTTCCTTCCTGGTGTTGGTCAGGTCTGATGATGGCTGCTGGACCCTGCCATGGATTTTCTTCTCCCCAGACAGTGCTCCAGGGCTGGAGGTACAGAGGGGACCTGTGCAGTGTCTGCCTTGGGTCCACCACCACTTTCTTGTAAAACTGTCTCTCTGTTTTCTCCTGCACCTCCGGAGCGTAGCTTTCAGGACTCCTTCTGCCCAGGCCCCAGCACATTTCTTACAATGATGCCTCTTCTCGGTATATCAAAATATGCATTTTTACCTAGTATTTATTATTATTTATTATCATCTGCAAAGCGCCTACTACTTGCTGAGAACTAGACCTGCAGATAAATACTCATCTGTACGTCACATGTATCTGTGCGCAAGTTTAAAGGGGGCAATGCTTTTTGAAAATAAGAATGAAAAAGATTAAATAGAAAAATGTAGTCGTGGTCCCAGCATGTGTGTGTGTGTATGTGTGTGTGTGTGTGTGTGTGAGCATGTTTGTGACGAAGCGCTTGTATTTGACAATGATAGTAGCCAAATTGATAGCACTCCATTTCCTTCATGTAGAGACAAAGAAAGACTCCTTCATGAGAGAATCTTTTTGCTCTCATCCCTTCTTTCTAGTAAATAAGCATCCTGAATATTCCCACACATTTATCATAAAGCTGTACCCCAACCAGTACCCAGGAAACTTTAGACTATGCAGGAGTCTGTTTGCATTTGATGCTATTGTGGGTTTTTTTTTCTTTATAAAATTAATTCTGCCACAGCATCTGAATGGTTTTTTTTTTCCTTTAAAATCAATTAGCTTTTGCTAGGAAAATCTTTTCCTGTTTAATATAGAATAATGATTTTTTTCATCTGTCAAGGGGGCTATTAATAACTGGCACCAGTGGGGTTAGAACATTCTCTGGTGTTTGCTTTAGGGGAACAGGGGGATTGTCGGAAATCCTAGCCAAACTGAACCATAATTAGAGAGAAAATGTTAGCAATTAGAACTATACATTAGGCTTTAATTTACGACCATGGAAAAGTCAAGGGTGGAATTTCCGTTCCATTTTTAGGTGCAGCCAGATGGATTGCTCATTATAGGATAATTTCCGCCAACCCTCTGTATTTCTCAGGGTAACGGCCTGGCTGAGAGCAGCTCCCAGCCCAGTGCATGGGGTAGCAGGCCAAGCAATCTTCAGTTCCGTGCCTCAGCGATGACACTGGAAATCTTAGGTCAAGACAGCGGCATGGAAGCACAAGTGTCTTAATGGAGTTTGTTCTTCTGTTTCCGTTGACAAGGGTTGTACTGGTACAACCTCTCAGAGGTGTAGTGGTCAACACCTCTCACCTTAAAAAGGGTTTCTCGTTGCTATTTCTACTCTTGTTTTTTTCCTAGAAACCAAAATGAGCACTTTAATCTGTTGTTTTTCAAAGAAGATCTTCTCAAACGTAAATAATATAGCCGCAATCTAATTCCAATCTAATGCCGGTAAAGACTCCTGTGTCTTTTAAGTGATAGATTTTTAAAATACGGGTTATACTTTATTATGTCTCCTATTTATTTCACAATCAAATGTGATTTCTTTCTTAACTGTCCTGATCATTTTTCCTTTTATAAAATGAACTTGGGGCCAAAATGTTAATCACCATTTAAAATAAATGTATTTATTTCCGGATGAACAAGGTTTTCACATTTTAAATTTCTGGTTACTTTAAATTATAGTGAGTCAAAAGCCTGTCATTGTTTCCTTCATGTACGACATACAATTGCTGCTACCATTAGTTCTTACTTTATTTTATACATTTTTGTGGTGTTGGTGATTGACTGAACCTGTGATGTGTGGCGTGCGGGCAGGCATACCTCCGCTTAGTTATACCCCAGCTGGCTCTTCCTCTTCTCCACTCTTTCTTTGGAGCCAGACTGTCTCTAAGGTCTGTGGACTGGCCTCACGACTCAGCCCCTAGCCCAGGGAGACCTCGGACTTCCAGCTTCTCCACCTCTGCTGAAGGAAGCCTGCCTCCAGGCCTGGAACTGTTTACTTTTCATTGTAGAAAATGCACACACTGTGAAGCTGACTGCTTCTCTGCTTTTTCCCATAGAGTCCCCATGGTCCATTTCCTACAGAAATGCCCCGTGTCTGAACAATGTGTGAACAATTTTAGCACATGTACTAAAATCGGAATTTACCTAGATAAGATTAGCATGGCCCCTGAATAAGAATAACATGCAAATTTGGCAAGTATTCCTTATTCTTACTCATTTTACTTATGAGAGAGAGAACTTCCAGGAACGGTAGGATCTTGCCACCCACCCCAAGGGTCCCTGGCGGAAGGCACGCCCACACTCTCTTCACCTTTCTTTATTTTGTTTTCTTTCTCCTACCTCCTCTTTCTCTCTTTCTTTTGAGATGGGATTTCTCATTGGCTTGCACTCACCGCGGAGTCTAGGCAGGCTGGCCAGCGAGCCCTAGTGGTCCACTTGTGTCAGGCTCCCCAGGGACACGATCACAAATGCACACCCTGATGCAGGCAACTCTGGAAGGAATGAGAGACACTGACCCCAGTGCACACGTGCTCGCCACGCAAGATGAATTTGACCATTTATAATTGTGAACCTTGCCTCCCGTTTCAGTGATTTTTATACATTTGTGTACATAAACAATATATTTCAAATAAGCGTTGGCAACACAAGGATTATAAAGACCAAGAAACAGAGTTTGGGGACTTTCACCAAGTGAATCTTTACTCAGAATTTATATATAGCAAAAAAAAAATTTTTTCACTGAAAAAGCAATTTTTGGGGGGGTTTTTCCGAGACAGGGTTTCTCTGTGGCTTTGGAGGCTGTCCTGGAACTCACTCTGTAGACCAGGCTGGTCTCGAACTCACAGAGATCCGACTGCCTCTGCCTCCCGAGTGCTGGGATTAAAGGCGTGTGCCACCAACGCCCGGCTGAAAAAGCATTTAAAAGAGACATGGACACTAGAAATTTTTTTATTGAACTTCATATTTATACTTGTTTAAATGATGGGAAATTGCTATAAGAAAGTAGAAATTTAAAACAAAACAGAAAAAAATAATTTAAAAATACCTAATGGTTTTAAATTTTTAAAAGATTTGTTTAATTTGACTAAGTGTATGTTTCCGTGCTTGCATGAGTTAATGTGTGCCACGAGTATGCCTGGTGCCTACTGAGGCCAGAGGGCAGCATAGCCCCTGGAACTAAAATCCTAGAGGTGACATGGTGCTGGAACTGAAATCCTAGAGGTGACATGGTGCTGGCAATGGAGCCCAGGTCCTTTGGAAGAGCTGCAAGCAAACACTTATCTCTGAGCAATCTCTCCTGCCACCATTTTTGGGGTTTTTTGTTTGTTTGTTTGTTTTTGTTTTGGGGAGGGTTTTTTTTTTTTTTTACTCTTGACTTTTGACGTCTCCAAGACAGAGCCTCTTGTCACCCAGGCTGGCTTCAAATTTGCCACATGGCTGTGGAAGACCTTGAACAACAACTTTGTGAGAGGAGACGCTGCCCCAAAACCAACTATTAACAAATTCTTCACTTAAAAATGTTCACATTTCATTTAAGAAGCAAAAATGTAGGCAGGCCTAGTGATCCATACCTGCAATCCAATGTCCCAGGAAGCAGAGACAGGAGGATCACCAGGGCTCGTTCCTGCTAGACTCCAGGTTCACCCGGAGGGCACGCACCAGTACACACAGCATGAGCATAACATGTACACACACGCACACATGCATGCACGCGTGCATGTACATACACACACACACACACACACACACACACACACACACAATCCCAGGCACAGAAAAGAAGCCTTAGACGTGTTCACAAGAGAAAGAGAGATCTCTGGATGAGGAGGGAGCAGGTGGGCAGGGCAGTGTGCAGGTGAGTCTAGGATTAATCTTCATGCCTCATTGACCAGTACCTGCTTGTTAACTACCAGAGATTTATGAAGAGTAGCATGTTTTCTAAGTGTGGTGGTGCGTGGTGCACACCTGTAATCCTAGCACTCAGGAGACTGAGGCAGGAGGATTTTAAGTTCTAGACCAGCCTAAGACACGTAGCAAAACATTGCTTCCAGGAGGGAATGAAGACGGGAGGGAGTGATGGAGGGAGGGGAGGGGAGGGGAGAGTGGGAGGGAGAAGAGAAAGGGGAGAGGCAGAGAGTGTTCTCTGTGTGACTCCCCACCTCACGAGGTCATATCACTTCTCACTTGACACAAAGTGTCAGTCTCTACTGGGGCTGTGCTTGACAGGCAGAACACTTATGCTCAAGGTCCCAGGTTCCAGCCTCAGCCCTGCAAAACCAAAACCGTGACCCTCTTTCTCATTCCCTTTCCCCAAGAAGAGAACGCCTGTTCACTTCCCTGAAAAGAAGGCTGGCTTCGTCATTGCGTCTCACAACTGTGTACAAAACGTCATGCTTGTGAAGCGTGTCCCCTCTGACTGACCCTCCTCCAGCTGCCATTGCCCCAAACCATCTTTGTGACCTCCCCCTGCTTCCCTTCCCTGTGCTGTGCCCCTGTGACCGGCTGTGTAGAGCCTGGATCCCTTCAACCTCAGGTTGTTTGTTGGGGAAGGAGTCTCGCTACACAGCCCTAGCTAACCTGAAACTGAGACAGGCCAGAGTGGTCTCCCCTCTCCCTCCTGAAATCCCGGGTGACAGACACACGCTACTGTACCCAGAAAACGCAATGAGTTCTCTTATTTCGCCCATGAGTTATAACCATCCAAATGTTTATAATACTGGTTAACTCATCAGGAAGAAAGCACCTTGGAGTCAGCTGCCATCCTGTTACATCTTCCTGTAAGAGGAAGAACCAGCGTCTGAGTAATCTCAAACACAAACAGCGGAACCTCCTGGACTGACTGCAATCTTTAGAAACTCACCGGTGAAAACTCTGGTAATACTAGGTCCTTGCAAGCTCAATGACTTCAGACTATCTATCTCCTCAAACTTAAAAACTACATGGCATTCTCTATTGGTAATCGTTTAATAACTACTAAGACATAACCAGTAAATATTACAATAGAATTAATTCTTGGTGGCTACTAAATACAATTGTTTTAGCACAGACAATTTTTGTTTGTTTTTGTTTTGGTTTGTTGCTTTCAAGATGGGGTTTCTCTGTGTAACCCTGACTGTCCTGGAACTAGCTCTGTAGACTAGGCTGGGATTAAAGGCATGTGCCACCATTGCCTGATTGAGGGCTATGGAGATGGCCTGTTAGTGAAATGCTTGCCACATAAGTCTGAGAAAACTGAGGTCCAACCCCCTGTCCCCATAGAAAGAGCCAGCCATGTAGCTGGAGCTTGTACTATCAGTTCTGGGAAGGAAGAGACAGGCAGATCCCTGGAGTTCACTGGCTAGCCAGTCATGCCCAATTAGTAATCCCTAGGTCCTAATGAGAGAGAGAGAGAGAGGGAGAGAGAGAGAGAGAGAGAGAGAGAGAGAGAGAGAGAGAGAGAGAGAAATTGTGTCTTAAAAAACAAGGTGAATAGTTCCTGAGTAACAAACTCCAAGGTTGATCTCTCTCATCTCCCTGTGCACAAACACACACACACACACACACACACACACACACACACACGAGACAGAGAGAGAGACACAGAGAGAGACACACACACACACACACAGAGAGATTCATAGCGGTATCATGGTACATTGAAGGGTCAGGGGGAGGACAAGATCAGATTCAGTGCCTTGAAGCCTAGGATACCCATTTCATGGCACACACCTTTGACACTCTTGTCTCAGCCCCCCATATGTACAAGGGATGAGCATAACATTCACTTGGGTCATTGCTTGGTACCGCAAGAAGTACGTAGCAAACAGCACCAGTTGTTGCTTCTCTGGTTTTCACTAACTAAAATTTAACAGAGGCTAAAGCTGTGGTCTCCAGTCAGACGTCGTGGAGGGAAGCCTTCTGCTATGGTTTGGACCTGGAACATCTCTCAAAGCCCCAGCAGGCAGCCATTGCCAACCTTGTCTGCAGACTGCATACCAGCTCTCCTCGGTTTTCAGCTTGTCAAACACAAACCTGGGTGCTCCCACTCTCCACGACTGTGTGAGCTCATTCCCTATATAGACTTAGACTGGGCTGGCAAGATGGCTTGGTAAGTGAAAGCGCTTGCTATGATGGACTGGTGATCCAAATTAAGTTCCAGGAACCCATCGTGGAAAGACAGAACCAAGTTTTGAAAGTCATCCTCTGATCTCCACACATGTGCCATGGCCCTTGAGCACCTGTTCTCTCTCTCTCTCTCTCTCTCTCTCTCTCTCTCTCTCTCTCTCTCTCTCTCTCTCTCTCTCTCTCTCTCTCTCACACACACACACACACACACACACACACACACACACACACACAGAAAATACTGCTCAATAAAATTAAAACTTTAAAAACAGATTCAGAGCCGGGCGTTGGTGGCACACGCCTTTAATCCCAGCACTCGGGAGGCAGAGGTAGGCGGATCTCTGTGAGTTCGAGGCCAGCCTGGACTACAGAGTGAGTTCCAGGACAGCCTCTAAAGCAATACAGAGAAACCCTGTCTCGGAAAACCAAAAAAAAAAAAAAAAAAAAAACAGATTCAGGATGGAAAGCCAGGTCCCACTGATCCTATGTGACCCTCTTGTCTACAGAATCTTGACTCGTCCAGGTGGAACCCAGGACCTCCGAGGGCTCATTTGGAACCAGAGTCCTAAAGGATTCTCCACAACCCCTTCTGCTTTCGATGTTGTAGTTCGATCATAGACCATGCTGGGCAATGTGGTGGGTACTGAATTTAATAAGTGCAGGTTAGATTAATCAGTGAACAATTAAGACAATAAAACCTCAGCTGAATCAAGTTCTCCCCCACTGGATTTAACTACCTACAAAGCACTCAAGGATCCACAGTACATGTAGAGGTAGCCAAACAAACATAACATCTCAGATTCCAGTGGGCCTCATCTGAATAGGGGCACTGCCTGGGGCCACTTCTCAAATGTCACAGATGCCTGTTTGCTATGTTAATGTGACACTTCTAATGTTTTATTCAGTGTGAGGAGTATAGAGAGCGACTCCATCATCGGTGTTTCCATAATATATTATATAGACTCATTCATCTGTTAAATATTGAGTTACATAGCTAAGGAGCATTTTCAGTGCAAGTCCCTGAGGAAACTAAAGATGAGTGACATCTCCCCAGAGTTCACCATCTAATGGGGGAAAACAAACACTCAGGGGGAAAAATGTGCCAAG